TTCACCGGCACCAGCAGGGGGTTCTGAAGCAGGTCGCTGGGGGGGGGTAGAGGGGGGGAAGAACAGTCAGCGGTGCCGGTTCAGATGCCACAAGCCCCCCCACCCCCACCACCGACACTCACCTGTAGACCATGCCATGGCAGACAATGACGCTGCCGTCGTCCGAGCCGGAGGCGAAGAGCGGGTAGGACGGGTGGAAGGCCACCGCCCTCAGGGCTGCCTTGTGGTGCCTGGCAGAGAAGGGGAGGGGTGACCCGGCAGCCCCACCCCCCGTGCCCCTCCCTGCAAGGAGGTGGCTGGGGCTGCCTTGGAGCCTGGGGGGGGCATCCCTCGGGGGGGGGGGGGGGGGGGGGGCTGCCCTTGGGATGCCAGCGCCCAGCTGCAAAGACCCAGGCGCAGCGATGAGTTAGCAGCATGCCCTGCGGCCCTGGTGGGGGGGCGGGGAGAAGCCCAGGCCCCGCCCATCCCATTGGGGGGGGGGGCTGCATCATCTGGGGGGGGGGGGGGGGGCGGGGACTGCCCCCTACCTGAGCACCCGGTAGGGCTTGGGGGAGAGGTCCAGGTCGAACCAGACCAGCCTGCTGTCGTAGCTGCCACAGATCAAGTTGTCACCTGAGAGGAGGAGGAGGAGGAGGAGGGGGGCCCGTTGGGGCACGACCGGAAAGGCGGCCCAGGCAGGGGTGGGAGGGCTCCCCCTCCCCCAGGCGGGGCCCCAGGACCCCCCGCTCACCTCCAGGGTGGACAGCCATGCTGGACACCCACTTGCAGTTGGTCAGCAGCTTCTTGGTCAGCTCCTGCTTGAGCAGGTGGTAGATGCGGACGAAGCGCTGCGTGGCCACGAAGAAGAAGGGCCGCCGCGGGTGGAAGAGGACGCGCTGCACCTGGCCCGTGCTCCGGCGGAAGGGCGCCTGGCTCCAGCGCTTGCTGGCCTGGTGGATCAGCACCTGCAGGTGGCTGTTGTCCGAGACCACCGTGGCAAAGTAGTCCCCCTTCCCGTGCCAGGCCACCTGCTTCAAGGGCTAAATGGGGGTGGGGGGAGGTAGAGGAGGAGAGCAGGTTGGGGGACGGGTGCAGGCGGGGGGGGTGTCCCTCCTGCCCCGCCCCGCCCCGCCCGGGCCGTACCTTCCCGAAGCTCAGCCTGAGCCGCACCCCCAGGCGGCGCTCCTCCTCCTCCGTGGCTTCCTCCCACGTGACGGGCTGCAGGCGGCCCTCCTCGGGGGCCGCGTGGCCTTCCAGGAGCTGGTCGGTGGCCCCACAGAGCAGCTTGTCCCCGAGGCCGGGGTTCACCAGCAGCACCGTG